TCACCACGACTGCCGGCCCAAAGGCCGGGAAACCCCAAACAACCAGAAATTGCCATGATTGTTTCCCTCTGGTAGTGAAGAATCCCAAAAAAATGTTGGAACTGGGGGAAGCACCATTCATTTCTGGTTGTTTAGGGTTCCGGGTTACCCATGGTTACCCCCGTGCTAAAAGTGGGAACAGCAAACCAGTAGGAAAAGGATATAGAGGCAACGTCAAGTCATTGAGTACCCAAAAAATTGGATGGTAAACAGAACCAAACATGGTCAACATCTACGGTTGGGTCTTGAATTTCAGAAAGTGAAATGTGACCCAATATGTACTGCTTGATATCCCCTGCACCACTGGGAACAGGTGGTGCAACTGGGAAGACAGCCAAGCTGAACCAGGTCTCTACGTCAGAGGATGGATTGGATCTGACTTGGCTCATGTGGTTCCCACTGCTGATCTTGCTGGATTCAATCTCTATATATCGAGGTTGCATATATCCCCATCGCTCAGCTGACTCACCTGTATGACTAAAAATGGTTTGATCCCTCCTGGGTGCCACCTACGGTCGAGCTGGACAAGCCATTTGGCTACGCAAACCAACCACCAAATGATTGAGTCAGGGTTTCATAAAAAGGATTTTTGGCCTGCTACTACTGTGTATAATGCCCCTCCATTGTTCAAAATGGATGCCCGAACTTGATTGCTGCAATCGTACCTTTTTTTTCACCCAGAAAGTTGTCGGAACAACATTATGGCAAAATCTAAGATGATTTGAACATTTGGTGACAAAACCGAAAAAGTCCCTCCCACACAACTGAAAGGAGTCCTTTCATAGACCCTCTTCGGCAAGGGGTCTCTGCAGATTGGATTTTTCTTACCCTCTGGTAATTTAACATAGCTATTGAAAATGACCATAGAAATAGTGGATTTTCCCATTAAAAATGGTGGATCTTTCAATAGCTATGTGACAGTCATTACCAGAGGGTAAATATGGTTTGATCATTTGTTTCAACCTCAGCAGTGATTCGGATGCCCCAGGAAGGAGATCGGACCGCTGGTTGGTGATGGCCGATGGGCGTTAAAAAGCTACCTGATGGTATGCATGGATATACAAATACGTAGAGTGATATCAAACTTGTATGGAAATGGTCGATAGTGCTGCTTTCCAAGGTGTGAATCTCATTTGGGATCGTTATCGTCGTCATCGTCATCGTCATCGTCATCATCATCATCATCATCATCATCAGCATGTCCTCTCAAAAACAAAAAACTGAAACCATCCAGCCAATGAATTGGAAATCCTGGATGTATGTGGCTATGATTATACGAAATATATATATATAGGTAACTTTGGATGTATGATGTATGTACTTGATCTTTGGTTCACCAAGAATCAAAAAAAATGGAGAGAGTCCCCTCCACGAAGTAAATTCATCAATCAAAACTCCCACTGCAAACGATTGGAACGGCTTACAGACCATCCCATCTGGGCAAAGTTGACGCCTTTTTTCTTAAAACATCTAAAAAAACATGTGAAAAAACCTCTGTTTGATGCATAAATTTCCACACCTTTGATGATTGAACATGGAAAAGCCATAGGAAAAGCCACAGGTTTCTCCCCAAAATTGGCGTGATCTCCATCCTAGGATCCCTGGATGGGCGCATGTCACACGCCGCTTGGTCAGGGCGACCCCGGCCCTGCATGGTTCTTGTCATGGAATCTCTATGTAAACAACAAATCTGTAGTGGATGGATGTGTGGATATACATGCATACACATGATGTATAGGCCATAAAACGACTCTCTCTCTCTCTCACTCATCCCATACATGACACTGATTTCAAGAATAGGTACATATATTTATATATATTGATTTAAAAAATGGTTGCATCTATCTATGTATGTGTATATATATATGTGCATAGATAGAAAGATACAGGAAAGTAGAAAGACAGAAGGATAGAAAGATAGACAGGTAGATATAGATAGATAGCTAGATAGCTAGATAGCTAGATATCTAGATAGCTAGATACGATATGGAAGGTAGATACGACGGATCCAATAGATGATTAGATAGATAAAATAGAGATCAGATAGATTTTCCATGGATAAGATGATTCAGCTAGACTAGATCGACTACATGGATTACATTGGGACTAGATTGGTTGGATTGAATAAGTTGTTGGTTGGTTAAATATGATTAAATAGATTAATCGTATTGATTGATGACTATTGATGACTTTTAAGTATTATTGATGATTAAATATGATTAAACCAGATTGATGAGATTGAGATTGACAATGAGATAGACAGATAGACAAATAGATAACAGGCAAACAAATATATTAAATAGCTACAAATTCATGCTTTGGAAGATACAACCAAATAAACCTGAAGATTGTCGAAATTGAAGAATACCAATCTTCTATTTTCGCAGCAGTGCTGGGGAGAGTAATGGCTCTGTGGAAAGAACTCGGCTGTGACCCGCCCTGGAAGAACTTGAAACCACGAATCAATGTGGCAATGGTTGGGTGGTGTATGAAGGGTTGTAAAAAAATACGTTTGATGGTTCATATTTAATTATGACGATTCAACCATCAAATCTATTGTCATTTGAAATTTACAAGATGGGATATTCATAAGTGACCACCTGAGTCCGAGACCCCGCCAGGCCAAGTTCCGTTACACGGGCCTCTGAAGTTGCGCCTTCCCAGAGGATCTGCTCACAGGACTCTTCGCCAACTGGAATGCCCAACCATCCAAAATTTGGATTTCACAAAGCAGTTAACAAGCAAAAGATCGGGCCGCCAACCTTAAGCAACCACAATCGGGATAGCAAGACGACCAAATACACACGCCTTCCCAGTACTGCGAAATGCACGCGACAAAAAATCGGGGCTAACCTTCGGAATCCTGAAGTCATTTGGGTTTGTCGGAAAATTGGGCACCCATGAACTCCCATGAAGACAAGCATTTTAAGGGGTACACCTAGTATACCCTCCAGTCAACAAACATAGCTATGGAAAATGACCCATTTACAGATGATTTACCTACTAAGAACTGTGATTTCCATATATAGTTATAACATGTTATAACAGTTATAGTACTAGAGGGTACCCACTTTCAGACACGCAACCCTTCTTTTCTGAGGATGTCCTCAGCACGCAACAAAAATTTCGGTTCACCGACCAGTGTTCTGGCTAAATTCTAGTAATTCACTCACCTGAAAATAGATGAAATGTCTGGCCATAAAAGGGGATGATTCCCCGTATAGAAACCTTACTAACCATCATTCATGGCTGTAAATGTAGATCCCTTGTTGATTTAGCCCATCTCTACTCGTTTTCATGCCGTTCATCCTAACCCTCTTCTGTTTCCACCCCCTCGAAGTATTCCTGGCAGACTGTGCCCAAACGTCCATATTCAAGTAAATCCATGTAAATCCTATTGTGTACTGATCAAAAAAAGAACAGGTTTCACCATGGCAATGGGTTGCCGTTGACTCATCACAGCGCAAGTGATCCTCTGGGCCGAACTTTCAGTGGCCGAACATCTGGGAGAACGCGAGATGGCGAGATTCACGAGGGAAATGTCTCCAACTAAAAGTCTAGGCCAAGAGTGCCTCAACCAGTGATGGATTGGTTGAAGGGAAAATCTACAGGAAACCATTGTTTTTACCATCAAATATAGGGCTTTCCTGTAAATTTTCCCATCATCCAATTCTATGAACCAGTGATGGATTTTGACCCAGTCATATGAAAATCGATTGGGATCATCCACTTGTGATCATCCAAATCACCGAGGGCAGGATTTTTTGTTGCCAGATAGACTACTCGAGGATGCTGTGCCCTCTGAACAAACCTGCCAAATGCTGCCATTGCGGTTTTTCAGTTTCTACCACTCTGCCAGTGACCTGATCGCGACTTGGAAGTATGACCCGGCCTAGCTAGTGCTGATCTGCCCTAGGATTTGGATTAGTTGTTGTCCTACTGGAGCCATATATCATGGGTCATTAGATGTCCCCATTGAACATCAACCAACCATTAGGTATATGGTCTATAATGGCTACTATAAGGTGATGTCCAATATACCCAAAATGGGACATTTACCAATCCCTGTATATATATATACACCCAATGGCATCCAGTGATAGTTCTGGTCCCTGCTGTGAGTCTCGCCAGACTACCGTCGAATCTCGGGAAGAGACTCAACTGTTTTGCGCAAGGACGATCAACAGCAAGGTACCCGAGCGATGGTGGGTAGCCACGTGGAAAATGATCCCAATGGGACACTTAAGGCAGAACCCCTGGCTGTAACAGTCGAGTGGTTTGCCACTTGAAACCACCAGAAGCCCAGAAGTTTTTCCACCTGGCAATGGAACATCACAAGTTCATATCCTATCCATTTGTAGATGATTTGTCTGTTCAAAACAGTCATTTCCATGCCCAGCTTGGATTGCCAAAGGTTATCTCAAATTTTGCTGGTGAAATCACCATGTTTGCTCGGGCACCTGCGCACAGCGTTTTGAAGCTCGCGGTGTCACTGCGAGCTAAGGCCCGGGGAAGAACGTCGAAAAAACCCATGAGCTTTGATTTCAGTGCAGTTGAGCTACAAATTGCTATAGACATGGCGAATAAACCCCCACAAGTTGGGATATTATGACCCCTAGCCTATAACAATGATTAATTATATATCATTGTATATCCACTTATAACTTATAGCTGGAACTGCAATTCCAAGTAGCTCATTGAACTTCCATGACCCGTGAAATCTACTGCAGTACTGGCAGTACTGTATATCATTTATATCCTACAAGAGTTGCTGAAAGAATAAGTAGAATAAATGATGTACCGTTGATGTAGGTACATCAATCCCATGTGGATACAATGTGTAGTGTACAATGGAATTCGATTCCCGGAGGCTCTTCCTCTGGCGAAACGCCACATTTGCGACATGCCATGTCTTAAAGCATGAACTGCCGGCCAGAATCCACTTGGGGATGCTGCCAATTTCAGGACGAAAACCCCTCTCCTGGCTGCGGGAACAGGATGTTCAACAGTGCTGAGGATGAAAGGGAAAGTCCTTGGATCAAATGTATCACATACCCCATCAGACTAAATGAATCTACATGGCTAGAAAATTCTTCGGCTGAGCTGCCAATAAATATTCTTGAACGATCCTTAGATGGTGTCACTCAACCAGATATAGAATGAGAAGCATGGTACTGGGTACGAAGCATCACCATCGAACAATCACATCCCTGGAGCTACAACTTGAATTGTAAAGGTCAGTGACTGCCAAACGAAGATGTCTGGCTGAGGCAAGGATTCTGACGGCGTGTTCAAGACATTCAAGATTGAGAAGTTTTTTTCACGAGCATTTTTCCTGTGGAAAGTGGAAAGGAATGCGACCGGCCCTGGTATTCCCCCTAAAGGTGACCCCCCTGACACAAGCCCTTACCGGTGCTTGGTGGTTTTTTTCAGCCTTTAAATCCTTTAACAAAGAACCCAACTTTGTTGGCTGAATCACAAAATGTCCCTCCCAAATTCTCGCCATCTCCAACTTCAGCGCCTATCACAGTAGGGACCTGTGCAGCGGTCTCGGACGGAGAAAGGGGGTCACCCCCACATTCTACAAGCAATCCGTAAACACTAAGAAACAATAAGAAACGGCATAGCAAGCGGACCCCTGCCAAAGATCGGATTAGTGAGTGGTTTGGTAGAAATCGGTGCTGGATTCATCCAAAGCGATACAATAGAGCCCATCACAATGGTACATTCACCTGACAAAGGCATCAGTAGGTGTCATGGTTTCGGCCACTGTTCATCCCATGTCAATCTTCGGCACACAGTGATCAGACCCCAGTTGACCCATGGGGCAGCGGAAGTTTCCCGGTTCTAGACCGGATCAATATCCACTTGTACATACTGTACATACATATAATATATAGAAGATATAATACATAAAATATCATATACACTATATATAAATATGATATATTATATATAACAGTTCATTTAAAAATATATATATAGAGTATATAATATATATATATAATATAATACATAATATATAATATATAATATATAATAAAAAATATATAATATATATATATAACATATAATGTATAAGATATAATATTTAATATATAATATTTAATATATTATATATACTATAAAATATATAATATATAATATAGTATATATAATATATAATATATTATATATTATATATAATGTATAATATATAATATATATAATATATAGTATATAATAAATAGTATATAATATATAATATATAATATATAATATATAATATATAATAAATAATATATAATATATAATATATAATAAATAATATATAATATATAATATACAATATATAATAAATAATATATAATATATAATATATAATAAATAATATATAATATATAATATATAATATACAATATATAATATATAATCCATAATCTATAATCTATAATCTATAATATATAATATATAATATATAATATATAATATATAATAAATATATATAAATAATATATAATATATAATATATAATATATAATATATAATATATAACTTAATTTAATACAATATAATATTTAATACAACAAAGTAAAACATAATGTAAAATATATATAATAAAAGATAATAAAATATTAGATAATAAGATATAAGATAATAAGATATAGTATAATAATATAATATAATATAATATAATAGAATATAATACAATATAATATATATAATATAATATAATATAATATAATATAATAACATAACATAACATAATATAATATATTATATTAATTATCATATTATATTATATTATATTATATTGGTTTATATTGTATTATATGTAATTATATGCATATATATATATATATAGATATATATACATATGTATGTATGTAATTATACCGCATACACGTAGTTTACATTCCAATTATTAACTCGGATGCACAAGTAGTTTGATGTCCCCAGATCCATGGTGATGCTAAAAAGCGCAGAGACGTTGGGGATTTCGTAGTCAGGAACTCCGGCGCGGTCATCCAGCCCATAGCAATCCAAACATGGATACACTGCATGTGAATCTCAAGATTTTGTCATCAAAACCTAAGATTTATCATCAAAATCTCTGATAATCCTAGAATTTGTCATCCAAATCCATCAAAACTCCAGATGTTGCCATCAGAATCGGGTTATGTCATGAAAATCCATCATAATCTCAACAGAAATTGTCCCCGTTCAGCCACCTCTTCGTCCAATCGTTCATCGGAATAAATACCTGGACGGGCCCGTTGCGGGCCTGAAACGGGCCTAGAGGACCAGAGATTGAAATGTCTATGTTTAGTCTTAACGCTTTAAATATGGGGGTACCCAATTTTGACTCATACCCAAATATAAAACTGGGAATTCATAAGCAAAAAGCAGGTATCTAACACCATCCAAAATGGTGGGTTTAAGCCAAAAATGTAGATGCAATCATCAAGATTAGGGATTCAAGCTGTGGGGATGAAAGCAAGAATAGCTGAACCAGCTGGGCGCTGAAAATCATCCCTTCAATTCCTGAAGTCAACTTGTGAATATTGAGGAACAAAGATCGGTATGAGTATATCCTTGCTTTATGCACCCTTGCAAGTGTGAATCTCCATGTTTAGACTGGTAAACTCTGGTAAACTCATCTACAAGAGGCTCCTCCACTCCAAGTTTAGATCATTAGAGGCGATCGCAAAGTTGACGAACTGTTCCAAGTCTGAAAACCCGAATTCTCCCCACTCAAATGCCAAGAAATTGCGGCGTCCCAGTTATCAGTTGGTTTAAAAACCCCATTAACTATAGTTATAAGTATGAGAATTGGGTATGTAGTACATTATGATAATAGTTTGATAAACTATACACTTTGACCAAATTGGGGTATCCCCACATTTTTGAAGAAAGCCATGGAACAGTGATTCTACCACCAGGGACTGAGATCCCTCACTGACATCGCCCGCATCACTGGTCCTGAGTCGGGGTGATGAACCTCCATCAACCATCATCAACCCTCATAAGGGGCTTAAGAAGGGCCTTAGTAAACCCCCATTGTTGGGTACCATTGGCGTAATTTTTTGGCGTACGGTAGACACTCGAACTTCCAACCATAAATATGTGATGGACACGCATCATCAAACCCTCTTGTAACACGAACATTGCCGGAGTTCTCGATAATGATGAGGGTACTGAATACTTCATATCTGTCCATTTGGCTAATATATCTGACATGATTGAAAGGGAAATATCATGAAGTATCCATTCAACCAATGGGGCCTGCAATGCCGCAGAAGACGAAATGCTGGTCCGCAGGTTCCACCAACAAATATGATGAATCCCAAAGTCATGTCAAACCATTTTTAGATTGTTGAGGCACTGTATGTCTGCATATAGCATCTCTGTTTTCCCTAAGTTTTTAGAAAGTCCAATCAATTCAAACCCAAAATTCTCGGCAAACCTTCCATAAGTGAATAAACCGCTGCAAATTTCGCCCATCGCTTGGCTTTCCAACGTGGTTCGTGACTCTGCCGTGGAGCGGATGGAAAACCCTTCAATCGTTCGCCTCGGTGCCCAATGGCATAAGCAACACTTCAGCGGTTCGAAGAAGGGGAAAGACTTCAAAAATTGCAATTTGAATGCGGAAGATCATGATCAAGCATCAAAACTTTTGGGTGCCGTATTTTCGGACGTTCGATTTCGCACTCCTGATTATTCCTGATTTTTTTCCGAACATACCCAGCCGTCAACCATTCCCTGCAAGTCACTGACATGGTTTGTTTGCCAAGAAACAATTGCACATCACGACTGGTGCAAATGATTTTACCGTTTGGATTTGTTCATTTGTTTTCGTGTGTTATTTGCAAACCAATCATTACAAGCATCCCAAACTGATAAATTAACAAATTGTGAGGTCATTGGTTTACAAGTAGTTTGGATTGGCGACGCCCCCATTGTCGATTCATCATTTCCGAAATTGATCCTGAACCCCCAAGAATATCCACATGGTTTCCTGAAACCGTGCCGTAACGTTTGCATTTGGTTCCTTCACTACTGTCGTTCCAATCCGTGATTTGATGGTTTAGATCATGTTGAATCATGTTACATTTGTTGGTTGCATCATCTTGTTGGCTGGTGAATCAGCTCAAGACACTGTTTACAATTCATATGATTTGTTCTTTTTTCATAGACCCATCATTTATTTAGACTGTGTTTCCCTTCTTTGATCATGGGTCGAAACTTCTGATATCATCCAAATAGCCGGCCGACCACCCACCAGCTGCTTTGATAGGAAATCTAAACGCGTCTGGGCATCTACGGTTTTGATCCACAACTGTTTTCATGATCACGGAGGGTGGATTGCAGAAACATGTACTGATCCGTGAACACCATCAATACATTTAACAGTTTGACAGTCTCAAGATAAAGGTGGTGCGATTGGGGATCATCATGGTCATCCTCATCATCATCATCATCATCACCATCATCATCAGCAGCAGCAGCACCATCTTCATCATCATCATCATCACCATCATCATCATCATTACCACCGCCATCGTCATCGGAATCGGAATCGTCGTCATCATCATCAGAACCATAACCATAATCACCATCATCACCATCGTTATTATTACGATCACTTGTTACTGCTATTATTATAACTATTGTTGTTATGATTACATTGATATAACTATGATAAACTAGCATTAGCATCAACACCATCCTCCAAACATCTTTTGACCGATTCAATCTCCACCACTTTGGGCCCCCAAACCGCACTGCCAAAGCCCTAAGCTCCGCGAAGGCCCGGACATGACCACGAAGGGCCTCGGTGTGGGAGGGGGGTTCCCAACAAATCAATCCAAAATGGTGTTTCAACGGCAAATTCGATGATAAACCATGAGAGTTAGGGGTGCCCAGTTTTCAGATAAAACCCCTTTGGCATGGTTCGAAAAAAGAGATGTCGATGGGCCCCCAAAATTGATCATGTTTAAACGTGTATCCATCAATTTGGAAGGTCAATGCCTTTGAACCATTGGTATTCTTTACTGACAACGTAAACCGAGGGGAAAATAAACACGTGAGCGCCCAACAAAGCGAAGCAGGTTATAAAGGGATAAGTTTCGGCTTTCTGCGGGGCAAGCATCACCTGGTCGTCAAGAAATGATGCATATGGGGATTCTTGAGCACCCCAGGCGGTGGATCTGTCAATATGTATAACAACAGTTCCAATGATGCCGCAATCCCCTGCTCGCCAGGCCATTCAACATCACAACCATCAACATGACCATCCATCATGGGTTGCAAGCCTACCAACGATGGTTCTAGCCAAGGAGCGTGCTCTAAAGATGTAATTGAAACGATTCCCCCCTGTGGAAAAACAGTCGATGGGCGTGTTCCCCATGTCGGGAGTGCGGCGCAAATATTGCCACAAATATGTCTTTTTGTGTGTCTGGATCAAACTTTGGACTTGCAATATTTTGACCCACCCCTTTTCGACAATCCTGATTTGAGTTCGTTAAATCCCAAACTTGTTGCTGCCAGATCGCCTACCATCGTCCTCAGCCCCCACCACAGGTTTCCGCGCTTGCCGGGCAAAGGCCGCTTCAGCTGCCACTCTGCGCAACGGTCCTCGAAACCTTGGCGTGTGGCGGCTGGGGTTCCTGATGCACGCCGCCTCCTACAGCCCGGAAAATGATATGCTGAGGGTTCCAAGGTGTCTTTGCCAAGAAAGAATAAGAAAGTATCATATGAGAAGAATGGGCATGCCAGCTAGGGACTCTCAATCTCAATCTCACTCTTTGGGCTTTGAAGCTTTCAACCACATTTTTTGACCACGCGCTGAGTTGGCTGCGCTGCATAGCTTCTGCTGACCTACCCCTGCAGCAAAGGATCCCTTGGCTTGGTCTCACTGTTTGGAAAACCCGCCAAAAAAGGTTGCCTCACGGCCATTTCTTCTGTGCTCACAGAAAAGCTCCCAGTTCTGACGCAGCTTCCTGCTTTGCATAGCCTTCTCTTCAAGCTCTCTGAGCGCTTTGTTGTAGCCTGAGCCCTGGCTATGCTTCACATCGGCACAGCTGATGACTCGAGGCTTCTCAATGCCGTAGATCTCCACCTGGTAGGCGATCTTCTTGTTGTTGTCATCTCTCTTTTCCGCAAGTATTGAACCTGCAAACTTCCGACCATGATACTCGGCAATGCAAAAGAAGCCCACCACACTTTGCTGCCGGTATGGGAGATTCTTTTTCTCCTTTTTGACAGTTCGAATCACCATTGGAAAAGCTGTCAGGCGAACGAGTTCAATCTACACAAGCGTTCTTCGATCCAAGATCTCTTGACCCAGAATGTTCACAGAATAGGCAAGAAACTTGCATACAGTTGTGCACCCGTTACTGCTGGATATCCCACAACTTGCTGAGAACACAAATGTTCAAACCAGTCCCCCAAACAAAGCTGATTCGACACGGCAAAAACACCTGGCATACACCTGGTTGGAGGTACCAAACATTCCGCAAGCAGGCTAATTCCCAGTAGCGGATTGAAACCCTAAACATACCTGTTTTCATGGTGGACCTTTACATCTCCATCTAAATTGTCGACCTCCCGGCGTTCCATGGCCAGGTGGCATCTCTTCTGGTTGCCGTCGCAGTCGCTGTCGAAGCACTGAGGCCTCGGTAACATGTATCAGCATGCACCGACGTGGTCACAATGGGATCCACATAGATCCACCATCCCCAAACACGGTAGAACTACCCTCTGGTAATTTAACATAGCTATGGAAAATCACCATTTTTAATGGGAAAATCCACTATAAATGGCCATTTTCAATAGCTATGTTAGTTTACCAGAGGGTACTCAGCGTGGCAGTGATGTTGTAATAGCTCTGATTTGCTTGCCCAAAATCCCAACATCATTCTTCGCTGAAGGACAATCCGACAATTCGTTCCAATGAAATGGAACCGTGTGAACACTGAACACAAAGAGGTGGGAACAAAACAACAAAGAACAAACATGTTTCTTCACTCATGAGGAGCCATCCCAATGATAAAAACAGCCACAGGTGTCTCGAAATCTGGAACGCCTGGAACGCGATTTTCTCCATCCAAAGTGACCTATTTATTGGGGACCCATCCCCTTGAGACTCCATATATCACCATCACTCATCGCCCTGAGTCAATTGAGTGAGGTACAGGAACTGCCAGCCCCGCCGCCTCCCGGTATTCCTGGACTGGGATGATCTGGGATGGGTAGAAATTTTCATCCATTTCATCCATGGCATCATGGCCATCCCAGTCCCCCAATTTTGGGGGGTTCTGGGGAAAGCCGGAAGGATTTTGGTCAAAGCATCACAGACTCCAGGAATCGAGGATTCCTAAACCAATCCCCAGCATGCTTCGATGCAGTTTTCCGAAACGTTGATTTGAAGGAAGTTTGTTAGTCAGTGTAAATGTGCGTTGGCCTTATATACATATATAATCATATATATATATACATATTTAAATGATATATGATGACTCCAGTGGTACCCAGCACACGCACTATTCCTCAACAAACAGAGAAGATACTCTGGGCGAAGCTCTCCAATTTTCATCGGCCCATGTTTGTATGTCGTCCCATCCTTTTTGCTCTGCGGAAAATGCTTCTTTTTATTGCTTTCAAGACCATTTTTTGTGCTAATCCCAGCTGGTACCGGATAATGATCTACTATATAACATATATATATATATGGTCCCGTCCTCCGTCTCTCCACCCCCCCCCCATGGGTTGGGTCCCCAGGTAGTAGCCCCAATTCCCTTCTATTTGCAAGCTATTGGCAGCATTTCTGAGGTCCAGCGTCGTATTTGCTAGGTCTTTGCAGCATTTCTGACTACCAGCCTCGCATTTACTAGGTACATGCTACCTTTTAGGCGACCTACGTAGCACACATACTCCTTCAAAGTACCTACGTGCTACCTATAGTCATACATACATGTGCTATGTATCTACTGTATCTACTTCCTGTTTACTACCTGTGTACTCTGACAACACTACCTCTGTTGAACATATACCGTACCTACCATACATGTCAATGATGCCATGCATACCATACCTATCATATCTATCATACATACCATACATACCATACATATGAAATGTAATTACCACACCTACCATACATACAATAGCATACATACAATAGCAAGCATACATGCCATACATACCATACCTACCTTAGATAGGACATATTCCATACCCATCATAGTAACCATACATACCATACAGACCATACATACTGTCATATCAAACATACCATATCCAACAGACTTACATACCATACCTACCATCCATACAATACCAACCACTCATGCCATACATACCATACCTACCATACATACCAAACATACCATACTTTCCAAACATGCCATACCAGACCGACCATACACACCATACATACCCACCATACCATACCACACCCCCACCACACCACAGGGGGGGGAGGGGGACAGTGCCACACCCCCACCACACCACAGGGGGGGGAGGGGGAAGATCTCATATGGGACCAGTATATGGGACCCATCCACCACACCACAGGGGGGGGAGGGGGACAGTGCCACACCCCCACCACACCACAGGGGGGGAGGGGGAAGATCTCATATGGGACCAGTATATGGGACCCATCCACCACACCACAGGGGGGGGAGGGGGACAGTGCCACACCCCCACCACACCACAGGGGGGGAGGGGGAAGATCTCATATGGGACCAGTATATGGGACCCATCCCATATGGGGGGGGGGAGGGGGGGGTGGCAGGGCCTGGTGCATATATATATATATAATTACTGTATACATATCAGGGAATATCGCATCTAAAATTGGATGAACTAATCATTGCGACGTCAACCACTTGCTCAAGCGAGGAGACCCCATAGAAGAATGCCAACTGGATAATCAACAAAAAAACAAAAAAAAACAAAACAAAAAAAACTATCTAACCGGGGTAATGTATATAGGTACCTTCCAGTCAATCCAACTGGATACAAAATATATGGATTCATATGGATTAACCAATTGGATATTCCAGCTGAGGATACCCCATTCTATCCATTTGTTCATCATCATTGTCCCTGTGAGAAAAAAGCAATGAGTCAATGAGCATTGTAAAATCCACCATTTTCAGACTGACCCAGATATCATACATATATATATATATATACTTAGTATATAATATATAAATATACACATATGGGTTATATATCCCATGATGTCCCATTCTATCCCATTCCCCATCTTGTGGTCGGTTAAACCCACCCCTAAAACAGGCTGCCCCCAGGTACCCCGAGGCCCCCAAGGTCCTCGGGCATATCCCACCACCATCGAAGAACATCCGCGAAGGCGACCTTGGGATGTACACCAACTGCAGGATGCTGCTGTGGATGTATATATGTATTGAAGTAGAGAGAGAGAGAGAGAGATGCATATATACAGTATGTCTATATATATATATACACATACATATGATATACTATAGATATTTCTGATCGACCCCATACACTTTGGCCTTCGACATATTCCATCCCCCACAAGCTCTTCGCTCCCAACGCATGGACCGTTTGGACTGGGACCTACTTGCAAGTAGACTTAATAGTAAGCGTTGTGACTATATTACTTGGATGTTCATCCCAGTAAGTAAGCAGGTAAACACCTTCGTCGCTATATATATATAGTGTGTGTGGGAGGATATGCATATATATATATATACATACAGTGTATATATATATATATCCATATATATATATAATATGTATATATTATATATATTATGTATGTATGTATGTATATATATGTATACATGGATCTCAAAGTAGATGGCTCAACTCAAAAACCAAAATACCCATAAGATGGCACCGCGCGCTGAGAAAGAAAACGGCGCTATTTTAGCTGGAACATAAAACGAGTTCCGCCAATTGAAGAAAAAATCACCCTACTTTAAAATGAGAAGGTAGATGGCGCAACTGCCACTCCAGTAGATGGACATAAGGGTATTGTTAACTAAATTTACTACATTTCCGATCATTTTTGCTTGTATATACGGTGGAATTGCACAAATTTGTATTGTATAAAATGAGTTAGTTGCGCCATCTATGTCCCTTGAATCCCATTCCAATGCCAGATGTTTTTTTCGATGGGTTCAAAAATGAATTGCGCCATCTACTACGTTCCTTAAATCGCATTCAAATCTTTCAAAATTTCAGTGCCATGCCTTAAAAATGAACCACTGAAGGTTTTAAAACTGATTGTGGACAGAATTTATGGATAGAAATTTCATTTTTCAACATATTTTGACAAACATATACTGGAAAAACACTTTTAAAATTTCATTGCCATACCTTGAAAATGAGTTGCACCATCTATGTCCCTTGAATCCCATTCAAACGCCAGATTTTTTTTCGATGGGTTCAAAAATGAATTGCGCCATCGATGTTTTGCCTCCTGTCCATCCTGTCTTGGGATAACTTTGATGTCTTTCCTGGTGGTTTTGCCTCCTGTCTTGGGATAACTCTGATGTCTTTCCTGGTGGTTTTGCCTCCTGTCTTGGCATAACTCTGATCGATGTGGCATATTTTGTTTAGGTTGGTTGATGGATGTCGGGAGATATGACGGAGTTGCGCCATCTATGTGGGCATTTGCAGCCTGATTTTGGCGAATGAGTGGGAGTTGCGCCATCTATGTCCCTAAAAAGACATTTTTTTTGCAATGCTCTACGCTCTGGCAATTGCAACTTTGCTTGGCCCCGGAAAACGGACCCCACCAAGTTCCCCGAAAAAGAGCTTTTTCCTGAGTTTCCCAAAGGAACTTGACACTTGGTGGGGTCCGTTTTCCCGGGGCGAACCCAACTGGAAAATTGGCACCGCGCTGGTTTCCCCCATTTTTTTCTCAACATCAAGCTGCCTTTTCTCAACATCAAAATCAGGCTGGGAATGCCCACATAGATGGCGCAACTCCCCGGGAGTTGCGCCATCTGTCCCAAAAAGGCAGCTTGATGTTGAGAAAAAATTATGGGGAGAAACCAGCGCAGAAGATTGCAAAAAATATGTCATGTTTAGGGACATAGATGGCTCAACTGCCCTTTTTTAAAGGGAGTTGAGCCATCTATCCCCCATGTTTTTTTTTGACATAGATGGCGCAACTCAAGATTCCGCGCCATCTACTTTGAGATCCGAGTATATGGGATGTATCCCAATTCTTAACCAGGCTTCTGAAACACTCCCTCAGTCCAGCCAGTATCCTCTTTCGGATCTGCATCCCAAGAGAACGAAATCAGCATCACGTTCTCTAACAATTGCCATAATTGCGGGGTACATCCCCCATTTTCAGACCCAGATATCAGATTCTTAGGTTTCTCACTGCTATGAGCTATGTGTCCTCATTGTAATAACTGGTACATCCCCGTAAAATGGTCGGATAAATCCGTCATTTTTACTACTGTAACTCATATATCCCCATCATTATCCCCATGCTCACTGCTACAATCCCCATTCTTGTCAGTCTATCTTTATAATATCCCATGTGATATCATTTGAATTATCATTATTACCCCATGAAACCATGTCCCGTTCTTATAATTCCTCAATTGATTCCATCCCCCGAGTATTAAACACCCCACGAAACCATGATGCAGTTAAGGGATTGGAAAACATATAAATTCACATATATGGGACCGCAGAATGTGCACGTTTAATATGAACGGGGGATGGGACTATTCACTACATGTTCCATTATACTCCATCATATCTCCATTATATCTCCATTATATCCTATTATATCCCATTATATCTCCATTATATATGGCTATGAGTCAAAACCCTGGTACTATAGGTACCCTAAATAGATGGTTTATGGATGTCTATGGTATGGTAATTTCATAGGTCTTGACCCACCCGATTCTGCTATGCTGAACTCCCCGGATCTCCCACTGGGTCAACGGGCGGAGCTGCGGCGTCCATCGGCGAAGAGGTTCTCCAAGGACTTCTTTTGGCACTGCCGCCGTAGCGAGTCTAACTCCTACGGCCGAACTGAGTCGCGCGAGGTGCGGACCCAACGTGGTGAGCTTGTAGGTACTTGTTATAGTTGTAGTTATGGTTGCAGTTGAAGTTGGGATTGGACGTAGTTGTAGTTGTCCGTTATAGTTGTAGTTACAGTAATGACTACAAGCCTGTGATGATTTGGCTGGTGATTGTGGAGGTGCCTCTCCCTATTCATACGGTGTCCTCATGTTGTGCGATCAAAAATGTGTGCTTCAGAATGGCTCCATGTTTCTAAGTGGATTAAACAAGTCTATCAACTCCTGGCTGTGTCGGGATTAGGAAAGAGGAAAACGAGGAAAACGAGGTTCAAAACCATTGGAGTTTGGGAGTGTCCGAAATTTTCGCACAAAGCGACTGGATTTGTGGCTTGGATTCTGCAGACCTTGATTTCTGGGGACCACAGGACCTGGGAGTTGAGTTGGCTGTAAAAAAAACATGACTTCACATCGCTAAAATCGTCCTTGGTGAAGTTCTTATTTCATCTCCAAGCATCATATCTTAGCCAGTTCCCACCCAAGTTTCGTTGGAAATACAGTATTATACAGTAGCAACGTTTGGGACGTTTGGGCAAATCCCTTCTGCAAAACCCCGCATTGACGTTTGGGTCGTCTGTCCTCCAGTTCTCCTGGCGACGCTCGTGAATCCTCCTCGTGGAAGCCTTGGATGACTCGACGCTTCGTGAATGGTTCTTGTTGGCTTCGCACCATATTAATTGCAGTCTTTTATGGGAAAAGATGGATGATAAGATTGCAGGAAAACGGATATATCACGATTTACTTAGGAAAATAAAAAATCAGGATTGCTCCCAGCACCCCAGATACGTGTGGCAAAAAACAGGTAGATAAAGAGGTAAAAACAGGGGCTCATGTTTCCCCTCTTGCGGCGATCCTTCTCGGGAGGATGGGGCCTGATGAGCCCAAAAGACCCCTTTGAAGGAATTGGCCAAGAAAATAGTGCATATATATGTATATACCTGTGTGTGCGTGTACAGAGAGACTACAGAGAAAGAGATAGAGCTAGAGAATGTATATGCCTATATATATATCATATATACCTATATATATATATTAATTAGTGCAATATTATAATACATATAGAATACATTATATATATATATATGATTATGTATGTGTCTATATAATGAAAATATTGGACGCAATCAATAAGCATTTTATACTGTAAAAACCAGTAGAGAATTGAAAATGTAGGTCCTGGAGGGGGGGGTGACCATATATATATATATATAGAGAGACCCATATATGGGGATGGTTCAACTTCATCCCGTTCTTTTCGCTCCCGAGGCACTTAGCAACTCTTCCAAGGCAGCAAGGACCTGCAGGGTGCTTGGCAGCATCACACCAGCCAAACCTTTAAGAATTAATGCACATGTATAGGTATTTTAGGTTATAAATATTTCAAAAAAAAACAAAAAGATTCTACTTAAAATTGATTCAATGTTAATGTAAAGGTGATGCAACTTTGAATTAAATCCAAAATTACATTGGATCTTAGTTCAAGTTGATTTAAATCTAATTCTAAAATTGGTTCAAACTGAAATCAAGACAATTTGGATTTAGTCAAAAAAGTAATCTAGATTCAATGTGAAAGAAATCGAAATTTGCTTTAGAATTGTTTTAAATTCACTTCAAGTTTGATTCGGATTCAATTTCATTTAAATATCTAAAATCAAGTTGGATGTCATGTGGAATTCATTAGAACTTCATTCAAACAAAATGACTCAAATTAGAATTGAAAGATAGCGTTTAATTGATTTAGTTTCAGTTTGAAACTAAATTTATCGAAAATGTCAATTCAAACTAAATTTAGATCTTCAAGTACATATCAATCCAAGTTTACCTTTAAAATGGAAAGCCAAAAAACACGTTAAGATACATTAAGCCAAAAGCCAAGAAGCCTGAAGAAAACATGATTTCCGAAAAAAAAAAAAGATCTGGAAAATCCACGCCCTGGCCTCCTCTTTGGCTACGGATCCGTCGAAGTTCTTCTCCTGTTGGGAAAAAATCAGTTCCCAGAGCACACGCTCCTCGGCACGGAGCCCCGAAGCTCAACTGAGCCGCAACACGGAAGTTCTGAAGCAGAATAGCTAGAATCTGCTCCATATTTATCCAGAATCAACATGAATCAACCATATGTATCCATATTTGTGATTTGCTCTGCCACAGATGTGTTTTTAATGCTCCAAACCAATCATTCGGGGAGGGGGAAGTCATTCAGTGGTCTAAAGTTGTTGTGCCAGCATTGGTGTAAAGGACAAACTGCAGGAACACCCAGGTTTGGATGAACTCCGGTGGTATTGTGAATTGATCTTAGCTGCTGGGAATTTCCTGGTGCTCACATCAACATAGCTGGGACACTAAATGCATCTTCATCCCCAACCAATTGTGCCATAGGTACTATATTGCCCAGGCATATATCAAAAAAATATACCATCTGGTCATTTAACATAGCCATGGAAGATCACCATTTTTAATAGGTAAACCATCTATAAATGGGCCATCTATACCATGGCTATGTTAAATAACCAGAGGGTAACTTGAAATTTTGATCCATTGTTGGGACAATGTCGGGACCATCAAGATCCTATTATTGAATATGTTGCTAGCAATATAATCCCTTCCCCCATTTTTGGGACCTGAAAAAAAATGAATCGATCGACATTTCACCTAGGTTTGGAATGATATCCCATTATACAGGACTATACTACATGTGTATCATATTGTACATGTGTATCATATTAGATATATCATATCCCCACAACATGCTTGATATATTCCTTAAAAAAAAACATTCATATCTCAAATATGAAGATCATTCCTCCCTGATCCCAAAATTGGGCACAAGACGGTGGGCACCAACTCGCTATGAATGCCCCGCAGCACTGCCACAAGGACCTGATTCGAGGGCTTGGGATGTTTGGATTCGATGGCTTTGCCAAAGATGGCAGAAATGTTTACCACCTGGTTATTTAACATAGCCATGGAAAATCCCCATTTGTAATAGGTAATCCATCTATAAATGGGCCATTTTCCATGGCTATGTTAAATAATCAGAGGGTAGATTGGAAGTTTCAGATGGCAATGAAATCGACCAATGAAGACAGGTCCTGTTGAATGAAGCCACGCAGAATGTGGGTACCTCTGAAGGAGAAAGAACTTGGGGAACTTGGTGTGCCATCATTTTCCCAGTTCATGGCCCTTTGCAGGTGTGAATACCCCCATTGACAAACCAAAAAAGTAGGAAACACATGGCTGGGGTGACCGCGTTGACCGGTGCAAGTGGTCTCAAATTCAGCCAGTCCCACTGAAATTGGTCCAAAAACTGGAATAATAAGCCAGTCAGCTGATCACTAATTATTCACCATAGAAATCACCAATTATCACTAATTATTAACCAAATGTCATTCAGGAATCGGAGACTGATCACGGTCACAGACTTCCCATTGGATCGCCAATGGAAGGAACCACCACCAGCTGCAGCGATATAGTGTCCGCTCAAATTTAGGAGATGGATCCACTCGAAATATCTCGAATCTGTATGTTCCAGAATGGGATGAATGGGAAAGTTTTTCAGGATATCCGGATAGTCGTTTAAGAGTAAAGTTGCCATGGTGTCCTTTAGATGTTTCCCAAACAAATCAATATATCCAGTATCATCAGTATCACTCATGTGACTCATGTGGGTTTGTCTTAGAGTAGGGCACCCCCAATTCCAATAGATTGAATGATTGAATCATCAATTTTCCCTATTGAAATGGCTAGAGATGTGGGTCTCCCCACGGACAAGGTCAATGCTTGGGACTATTCACGCCCCTTAAAAGGGGCCCGCCTTGGCATTTCGAGAGCCTCCATTCTCGCAGTGGACATGGCTGGTGAGTTTTTGAATGGCTCAATGACTTCAAAAAATTGGCAAAAACCCCAACGCAGTGCAAATCTCATGAGAAAATAGTCATAAATCCTTGGATTTCAGGGGTACAAAGGGTACCCCATTCCTGATATTCCTGCACAAAGCCAATCAATTGGAGCCATGTATACTTCTTGTGTGTCCATTGGGCCTCAAGGCCTCAAGGTCGGTGGTGCCGCGCCTTGAGAGCCAGGAAACAACTGAGGCGTTGCTCGCAGTGCCAGCTGCAGGTCAGCACCTCCGGTGGAAAGCGGATGTTGGCTGCAGATCATCAGCCAGCAAAGCTCATTCCAAATAGGGAGGTACTGGAAAAATATGTGGAAAGTCATCCCCAGAACTGGATTCATCTATAGGTTTTGTGGAAAAATCCGGAAATCTACAAACATCCATCTATGATCATCCAACATGGCAAGGACATCTCTAATTTGGGGAGGGGTCATTGGGGACCACTGGACGTTGCAGATAAAACCGTCTATAGATCTCACAAAACCTCTATATATAATATATCATATCATCATAAGTTGGTGGCTGTCTGATCTAGCAGTGCGGCGTCCCTATTAATGGGAAAATAATCTTCAGAATGGATGATGATGTCCATTTGTGACCACAGGGGGAGGTTAAGTACCTTCATACCACAAGGTAGCGAGGTCACTTTGAGTGGTCTGGCACCCAAAATTTATGCTACCCAACTTTGCTAAGGCCTATGTAAGTGACCTGTAAGTGACCATCCACACAATAATATGACCTTACATGGCACAGTTCCTACATTCGAGGTTTCTGAACCGCCAGGCCACTCTTGGGTTTGAGTCAATTTCAAGCCATCCAGATTTCTCGTGCGGCAAAAGATAATTGGGTACGGAGTTGTTTCCCCACGATGTTGATGATTTTGCTTGACCACCTTGGCAAATTGGGTCCCCTTTCATTATAATGCCTAATATTGAACACCCCAAAAAAACTATGGTTTAGTGGGGATTACACATATTTGGGACCATTTAGGAGGTGCATTACAAGGATGGGAGTCTTTTTGGGGGTCATGACCATCCCCCAATCTACATTATCTCCATGGAATCTGCCAATGTGAGTCTCCAGGGGAAAAAAAGAACGAAAATGTGCCAGCTCTGCTAGTTGACCCTCCAAAAACAATTCAGAAAAATGGAAAAAAAATTGTATTTTCCCGCCGGAAATGTTGACCTGTTGAGCCTTCTTCCCACAAACTCGGCGGTAGTTTCTTCACATATCACTGCTCGGCCACCGCAGTTCCCAGGCACCAATGTGCGCTGATATGCGGCAGCCGCGACAGCCAAAGCTAGATCCGACAAGCGTGCACATCGCGCCTTGGAGAGCACGGCGTGCGTTTTTCCAAGGCAGTGGCCCTTGAAATGTGGTAAGTTCTCCCTCCATTGGAACCCTAGACTTTCGTCTTCCAGCACCCCATCTTTCAGGGATTGCATGCGAGTTTTCAGGGGATAGGGATTCCAAGTGAGATATTGGCTCTAGTCTAGACCCAAAACCCCTTAAGGTTGGGTCATGTTTTGTGTACGAAAACCATCAAGTTTGTAAATCAGACTTTTGGCCCAAACAAGTGTGAAATCAAACTCGGAATGCCTGCGCGGCTGTCCCCCAGTCCATTCCGCGAAAAAATGGCTGTAGTAACAAAGTACATGAGCTGAACACATGGGGTCAGTCTGAACATGGCCAGATCTTTAGGTGACTTCTATAAATACATGTGTATGTGTATGTATATATATATATGTGTGTGTATTCCCATTTATGGCTGAATATGAAAGCATCAAACTACCCATGCCATCGGCTGGCTTCAGTGCCTTGGCCCATCCCTGGCCCGAAAATCCCCCGAAAATCCCCGCTTCCTGGCAACCAGGTGGTGTATTTTCTGTGGGACAATTGGAGATTTCACCCGCAATTTGCGTGCTGGTCATGAAATGTCATGAACTCAGGAAAATCACCTTCATTTTACTCCCATCTCCGATTGCCCAAGATCGTTTCACTGTGGCTCCTACCCGCAGCTCCGGAACGCGTGAGGGGCTCCCGTCAGAGATTCCAGCACCTCCATGGACTATTTAGAGGGGATGGGGTCCGGCCATGACCATTTTGTGGATTCGAAACACCATCGGACTTTAAGGATTTGAATCCATTGTTACTCGCATTTTGAGAGCCTAGATAGCCAAATTCTTGGATGTCCTGGGGTCAGTCCACTGTCCCCTACACATTTACCTCAAACAATAAATTCAATGCCCAACAGAAAAACAAAACCCAGCTTTCATGGTTTTGGTGCATTCCACATCTTTGGTGGTTTCCCGTTGAAAAATAGACTGTTTTCCGTTGGGCGATGAATCAAAAAAGGGATACATCCGCAGTGACTGAGAAAGATGTACATACCCATTCTTACAATAGTCATAAAGTCTTTAGTGACCTCAACACTTATTTATTAAATTTATGCAACCTATACTGAGTATAGTTAGTTTTACTGTTCAACGATCTTTTTTGTAGACTCATTCGGAAAATCTATGGACACCGAGAAATCCATGGGAAATCCACCCTGTCATCCGTGACCACCTGCCAGCAGGTGGGACAAACCTCATGTTTTTCGCGCACGTGACGGGTATCCAAATTGATGGATGAGTTAGAGATTCGCGCAATGTCTAATAATGCCTAGTAGTTTGGTAGCCTAGTTGCAGCGAGAAAAATCAGGTATCTGTTTGGGGATGATATCCCCAATAGTTGGGTTAGTTGGGTAATTGATGTTCAATTCGGATCAGGACAATTTACTGAGCCGGACGTGGCGCAGCTTTTTCACACCGAACAAGTGGGATCTTTTGAACTTATACCAAACCTCCAGAAAAGATTAAAACAGCAAAATCCACAAGAAACAGTGATAAATCACTTTTGAATCCCGTTTGGGGGTTACGGGGGGTTGCCATGCATGCTAGTTTCTTGGGTGTATCTTCATAGCCAGTGCTGTCATGGGCGTTGGTTGTAGTTGATCAAGGGTTGGAAACCGAATCGATCCTGTCAGGATGTAAAAGACAGGATGTCACTATCTTTCCCCAACTTTTATTGTCGTTCACTAGCAAGTGAAAGCTATAAAACCGAATCTAGAGCAGGAAAACATGTATATGCTTGCTTCTACCATCTAAATACACGGGACTCGAGTGGATTTGCCCCCAACCAGCCTGGAAAATTCATCTCCATAGAAATGGCTGAAGAATCAAACATGCGATCACAAGACCCCGTTAAACCTCCAATCATTCCAATCGAAGGTTTACCCTCAATTCTTAACTCTAGATTGAGTGCATCTAATATACAACCATGTTCGTGCTGGTCTATCCGAACCATTTCGGCGCCCACCTTTGGACAGCAGGGAAATTCACAGCTACGCCAGCTACGCCAGCAGCTACGCTGGGCACCCCCAACCACTCCGAAGTGAGCTGCGGAGGTGCCACAATTGGTCCGGTCTCTTCTCGGACTCCCAAACGTCCAGCCTGAGGCTGGGCGAGGATCTGCAAAACCAGGAAGATGACACCCGAACGGCCCGATACAACGGGGATTCAATGGGACAAAATAGGAAATGTATATAATCAAAAAATATTACACATATATCTATACATTCTCCAGAAATGATGGATTTATCAGCACCACATGGTCATCACATCATAGAAAAGAAAATCAGGGCCGCTTCGCCCAGCGGGTTTTCTCGTCCAACTTCCAACTCCTGCTACCCCGCTTTCCAACCTTCCTTCATGATCCAGTATGCATGTCCATGGATCAAAGATGTACTACAATACCCTATGTGGACTTAATATACATATATATATATGTGTGTGTGTATAAATGTGTATAAATATATATATACATATTCACATACATACTTGTATGTGTATATATATATATTTATATATATATAGTCATAGTGATGCAAAACTGCACAACTATGTACGGTATGAATCATATTGTACATCTTGTAGGATTCCAACCGTAACTCCCCAGTCGCACCTGCCCCCAGGCCCCGCGCAGATCAGCGAAGTCGCACTCGCCCGTGTCGTCCACGCGCTCGGCCAGCGCCTTCACGCAGGCCTCGATTGGCTCTCCGGGCCCACTTGGAGGCGGATCGTAGCAGGTTAACAACACAGACCTGGAATTCACTGAGATATGATACTGGCTAATCGGCTAATCGGCTAAGGGATATGTTTGGATGCCATCAGAGTTATTACCCCCTGCTTCATCCCATCCATGAAACCAACGTGCTTGGTTTGTGGGTCCTAATCATCCTAGTAGACCAGGTAGTTTCACCCACCATAATGACCTATCAGCTGGGGGTTGGTCCGTGCTTGCCTATGGACCCCATAGGTTCAATTGTGATTTCTTCGAAAATCACCGATATGCATGTACATATATATATATATACATATGCATGTATACGTATAATATAAACATATATATATACAAATATACATACATACATGTATACATCTATGCATAAATACATAGATACATAGATGCATAGATCCAGAGATACATGTATACATATATACATATATAGTAATAAGCACATTACCTGGTTGTGGGATATACCTTCGCCACTTGCTATTGGGGATGCAACCCCAAGTACATGTACTTGGCAACTGTATCACCCATTAAACTACATGAGGGGGTTTTAAGCCATGGAGGAGCCCAAGTTGATCATCAAAATAATGGCGATAGCTATGGTTTTGGGTAGTCCAATCTAGAGAACCACCTATATAAATGCGTGTTTTAGTACAATTCTTTTCTGGGCAAACCCTACTATCATATTGTGGCTTATGTATGCTTGTTTCTATTTATATATATATAATTATATATACATATATATGTAGTGATATATGTATGCGATGATATTTTATATACGACTAACTTATAATTTATAAATCTATGTCTATGTCTCTCTATGTATATATGTATATATATATATATATTCAGATTTATGTATGTACATTGAACATATATATATAATATATTATATATATACATGTATATCTATAGATGTTATTCAATGATTTTCCCATAACATGTCCCGCTCACCCCATGTGCACCTCAGCATGCGCTTGGCTTGAAATGGCTGCTAAGGCAGAGCAGATTTCACCTGGTCCCGCATCCCGGTGGGAAGTGGTTACAGTACCCGTGGTTTGCTGCATATTGTTTAAGAATACAGTATTTATACAATACATGCATTGTACTAATTGTAATATGGTATAACTCACATAATTATAATAGAATTATACATAATGAATCATCGGTTGTAATAATTTAATACATGAATTGTAATTCATTAAAATATGGTATAATATTATCGTTATCATAAATCATTAATACAGTATCAATTCTATATAATATTGAATACATTGAGATTATAATGTGCCACTGGAGTTTGCCATGAATTGTAGTAGTTTCTTTTAGGTTTCATTGGGATATGATACAGGCCAACCCAAATGAAAATGGGATAGAATGATGTATTATGTGGTAAACCCAAGAAAAAAACCATCCCATGAAAGTTGTTACCCTTATCCCATGAAATAGTGCTTGGTTATACTAGGCGCAGATGACACGGGACTTTGCGGCCAATTTAGCCGATGTTTTTTGGCACATGACATGGGATTTATGTATCGATTTTGCTATGGATTTTTTTTTACACATGACATTGGAGTTATGCGCCGACCTAACGGGCAGGTATTTTTCCATTTTATTGACAGATGACATGGGAATTAGTGATCAAATTTACACATGACATGGGACTTCCAGGAAGACACAGACGTCCAAGATGGGAAATGGCAGGTAAATTCCTTTAAATTCCTCTAAAATCTTGTAAATTCTTTTAAATTCCTTAAAACTTCTTAAAAATCCTTTAAATTCTTTAAAATTGATTTAAATTCTTTGAAATTCCTCAAATTCCCTTAAGTTCCTTTAAATTCCTTGAACGATGAATTTACCACATGACATGGGACTTCCAACCCCTTTAAATTCCTTAAAATTCCCTTAAATTCCTCTAAATTCCTTAAAAGACGAATTTACCACATGAAATGGGACTTCCAATTCCTTTGAATTCTTTTAAATTCCTTTAAATTCCTTTAAATTCTTTTATATTCCTTTCGTGGATCAACAACTGAAGCAGCAGCTGCTAGGCAAGACCTTTTTCGTCTCGCCCTTGAGCCATTTTGCAATGGCAGTCATGTTTCATCCTTGTGCAGTGGCCATGCTATGGTTGGTGCATGCCACCACATGTCAACTTCTAAGTTTTTAAAATTCCACAGGGACTGGTGAAGTGCTTGGTGAATCGCACTCCCCCCCGCAGCCACCTGCGGAAACTCACAAAAGCTTAGCCAAAATGGCTATCGTAGCCCGGCTCTCAGCAGCGCTTTTCCAGGTCTTCATTGTTTTAGGGCTCCTCCTCATTCACATTGGCATCATCTGACTCAGGGTCGGTCAGCAAAGACCACTCTTCGACATGGGAGACGAAGGAGTCAGGGACCCTTTGGCTAGAGTCTGAGCTCAAAGTGTTGGTGACGTCCCATTCCACGGTCAGGGGGACGTAGGACTTCGGCAGCGAGCCCAAGTCTGAACCCGTAGAGGAGGGCATAGCAGCGACCCCACGTTGGATCACACCACCACGGCTATATCCTACCGTGGGTGCTCCAGAGGTCTTGTTGTGTTGGCTGGTCGGCTCCAAGAGGGGAACCAGCCGCAGCTCAGAGGAACCACCACTTGACACGGTTCCGCTCTGACTGCTGGCCAAACAACCATCCAGGTACAAGCGTCCAACCATCAAACCAGGAGCTTGTTGTGGTCGGTGACGTCGTGGCGTCTCCATTTCATAGTGCTGTCCCACGTGCACGTCTAGGTCATCATCTTTGGGCACCTCAGTCTGGGGCCATGGAGGGTCTTCTGCAGTTGCAGCCGGCTCCAGCTGGATGCTCAGGTTCATCTTTTCCATGACTTCCCGCCTCATTGTCAGGAAGGTGTAGCCGATCCATCGTGACTCGGCTCTGACGACCGGATCGTCCCATCGGTCAGCAACCAAGAACCCCACTCCATCAGCAGGATTCACAAAAAAGGCTTTTGTGACCCTTTCACCAGTCAGGAATTGGGCTTCAATTGGTGCCGAACGGTGCAGTGGATGAAACCTCTGTTTCCTCGGTGACTTGTGTACTTTGACCAAGAAGATTTCTTCCCCGCACTTCGCAACGGACCAAGAGTCCTTTTTTCCTGTGGTGTTCGGCTGGAGGTACCGACTATCCAGCCAGGGTCCATGCCTTGGCATACCGTCCAGCATGGTTCCACCAGCAGCCTTCTGAGCCATTTCTGCATCTCGACGGGCTGGAGGAAACTTCGGCAAAGCGCCGATGTAGGGTCCCCTTATTTCAGAGGAGCTTGAAGGTGCACCCATCGCCGCAGCGCATTGCAGCATCATCGGCGGCGCTTTGCGGCGCACAGCTGCAGGCTTAGGAGCAGCCTTTGGAGCAGCAAAGCCCGGCTCTTGCGGCGGCAGCGGCGGCGCAGGTTTGGACATCTTAGGGGCCATGGCAGCTAAACGCACGGCCGGAACTTTTGGGCAGCCCGTAGGGCAGTGGTAGGTATCAGCCAACAGTGGCTGCAACATTTCAACAGCATCTTCAGAGTCACCACCAACGGACTCAAAACTGTTGTGCGCCATGCCACAGCTGTTTCCTGCCACAAAATCCCCAAAACCAGGACCTTCTTCGGGGTTACTGTCCCAAAAATCCCTTCGACTTTCATAGGTTCGGTGAGCCCAATTACCATTTTCAGGGGTTCTATCCCAAACCTTCCCAAAACTGTTTTCTCCAGGTTCATCTTCCCTTGGAGATCTCACACATTTTTTGGTTCTTATTTGAGGGTTTATGCCTCCAGGTTCATTTTCCCTTGGAGGTTTTTCTTTGGCCGGTTCATCTCCCCTGGCATCTTTTTCGCTTTTGAGGCCAATGGCTCTTGATGGTTTTTCCACCTCCCTCCCATCTAAACAGATCCCATTGGGTCGGCCTTCATTTGAAGGCGATGGCTGCCAGTTGCACGCCAGCCATCCAGCGCAGGCAGCAGCAGCAGTAGCACAGGCCAGCCGCACGTCAGCTCGCCCAGCTGCCGTAGAAGCCACAGCCAGTGCAGCCATAGCCACGATCACCTTCACCTTGGTCACCACATCATCAGATCCCTTAGTTTCATCAGGTCCTGAAGTGGCGGTTGTTTTGGAAGACCCTTTGGAGGCTTTTTGAGGTGTGTTTTCGGGGTCATATTTGGGGATTGACGCATCAACATGAAACCCAAGGAAATGCCAGAACTTAACCCAATCCCTCAACAACGTGATTGGTTTGGTGAGCATGTCAGCGGGAAGGTCAACTCCCCTTTGGTGTCTGACTTTCCATGTTTGGGGGTCACTTTTCAACAACTCACGCAAGCAAGACGAACGAAGCCTCAAATGGCGTGTTCTCCATCCACCATCAGGGTTCATAAGTATGCTAAGTGCACTTGAATTGTCCCCATAAATAACCTTTTCAAACCCATCAAAACCATCACCCGTGTTGCATGAACCATGGATAACCTTCAATAGGGCTTCAGCAGATTTCAACATTGTTGTGGCTTCGCAGTATCCAACCAATTCGGATTCCGCTGTGCTCATGGTGTGAAATGCCTGCCGAGTTGCCTCCCACTGAATTGGAGATCCTGCAGCACATAGAATGATGCCCTGGTGACTGCGGTCACCTTGAGGAGCGAAGCTGATATCGGCGAAGGCCTCAATGAGTTTCTCATGCCTTGGTACCTGAAGTGTGCCATGTGCACCGTGGTCCTTGTTGCAAGGGCGGTACAGGAGGCAAGTTTCTGGGGTGTTACACAAAAACCCTAGCACATGTTGTCCCAACTGTTGGACCCACCTTGGTTTTCTAGTAACATTCCTTCCCATGACACTTACAGCATAGGCTATGTCAGGCCGGGCCTACTTCTCACAGAAAGCCAAAGCAGTTCACCTGTGATTGCTTGGGCTGCACGGACATCAGGTGTTGTGATATCCGTTTCATCCGTTTCTGAACTGTCCAGCTTTGTCATGGGGCATGACTTTGGGGAAACATGTTCATGACGTTTCAACAACTCAGCAGTGTAAGACTTTTGTCCTACCATCAGACTCACCCCATCATCATGTCTTTTCAACTCAAAACCACAAAACCGGATCCATTCATTTTTGTCAACAGTTTCGACATCGGAACACTTCCATTCTTTTTTCAACCGGTCAAAAAAGGAGTTTCGAACATTATCATTTGCAAGAGCCATGATGTCGTCCACATAAACAATAACATGACCTTCACATGTTGGTTCGGCATCCCCATGACCATGTTTCATGATTTTCCACAAGTTCCCTTCTTCGGTTCTTTTGAGGGAAAAGTCACAACCATCCATCTTCCATGTGAACCCACTCATGACCTGATCCCTGTGCACGGCCCAATGTGCCGGGCTTGACGTGAACCCATATAAAGCATTATGAACTCTCCACCGTTCAGAAGGGCTGCAAACTTTGGCTTCCACAAGTATTTTTGGGGGCACAACAATCACCTCCCGGGCATCTTGAGGTTTCGGCCGAGGAGCTAGGAGAAATGCTGTGCGTATGTCGGTAATGCCAGCGCCCCATCCCATCTGCACGGAGTGAGCCAATGTAGCTCTGATCAGAATGCCATCAGCGCCAGAAGCGTAGAGATTGCCCGGAGCAGGATCCAAGTCACTTTGCAGCAGGTAAGCAAACTACTGCTCTACATTTCTTTTTTCCACCATTTGGACCCGCTTTTCGAACAGTCACAAGTTTTCCAGGAACAAACTCAACCGCTTCTTGGTTCAACATGGAAAGGTCAACAGGTTCAATGGCCTTTGTTTCATGGACCAAACTGTTGTATTCTTCCATCATCGCATCCTTCCATTCCCCAAGTTCATTTCTGACTTCATTCAAAGGGATTGTGGTTGTTTGCAAGACCTCCCCCGGATTCACGGCCATAACATCATCAGTTTGAAGGCCACACATTTTAATAACCCGTTTATTTTGGGCATCAC